TGCCCTTTGGTTTCGGGTCCTCGGGTTAGGGTGAGGCAAAAGGTTCAGGGCCTAGTGTTTAGGGCAGGGTCTGGGTTGTGTGTGCCTGTGTTTGTGTGAAACATGTCAATATCTTCTGTCATGGTATGGGATTCGTGAATGCTTAGACTTGACAAAACCCTAGGATCTAGGGTTTGGAGGTTAGAGTCTAGGGCTGATACCCACAACAAGCAACAACGAAAAATATTAGACGCATGGCCTCTTTCTTTTCAAAGAGCAGAAGGTCCCTACTACCTTTTTCTACTACGCTTCTTTTTATACACGTGTTGTTATTGCAGTTATTTTGACCCTAAGTATTTACGATCCGATCATTCCCTATATAAATCGATTTACAACGAATAGAAAACAATAGAAACCAATAGAACACCAATAGAAAACCAGTAAAAACCAAAAGAAAACCAATAAAAACCAATAGAAAACAAAAAAACAGTAACAAACCAATGAAACACCAATAGAAAACCAATAGAGAACCAAATAGAAAACCAATAGAAAACCAAAAAAACCCAATAGAAAACCAACAAAAAACCAATAAAAACCAATAAAAACAAAAAGAAAACCAACAAACACCAATAGAAAGAACACCAATAAACACCGATAGAAAGCCAAAAAACACTAATAGAAAACCAATAAAAATCAATACAAACCAATAGAAAACCAATAAAAAGCAATAGAAAACCAGCAGAAACCAATAGAAAACAAAGAAAAACCAAAAAACACCAATAGAAACCAATGGAAAACCAATAGACAACCAATAAAAGCCAATAGAAAACCAGTAAAAACCAATAAAAACCACTAGAAAACCCATAAAACCAATGGAAAACCCTCAAGAAAAATACTTAGAAATTGCATGTGGGGTCATTCTGAATATCCGAAGTTAGTTGTCTAAACAGCTGACAAGCTGATTTTAGGTACATAAATCGAAAACGCATCTCTCTAGAGGCCAAATGCTCAATTTACTTAAACCCCCTCTCCCCTCCCCCCTCCCCCTCCTCCCTCCTCCCCGCCCCCAGACCTCCCCCTCCCCCTCCTGCCCAGATCTTTTTCTGGAAATCGCCCGCCCAGATCTTTCGAAATCCCCCTCTCCCCAGGATCTCCCCCCCGCGTTCCAGATCTCTCCAGATCTCCCCCAGCCAGCCAAAATCTCCCCCCCACATCTTTTGCCCACGGACAAGTTGGCCATTTACAAGGCTTTTCTGACTGGCCAAAGCCAAGCCTGGGGATTGGGGACGCAGACATATCCATCGACCCCCCTCCCACTCCACGCCCTTCCCCCCTCCACCCCTCCACCCCGCTCTCCTCCCGCCCCCTCCCGCCCCCTCTACCCCCGACCCCCGTTCCACAAAAAGAAAACGTTTCGTTCAAAACGTTTCGTTCAAAAAGGTTATTGGGACCCAAACCCTATACAATTTTTGTAAAAGCATTTCACACAGACCAATCTCGTAATCAAGCACGTCACAATCCACGAGCCCGAATGCTTCGAAATCTTGCCCACAGCCCACCAATGGATCAGAAGCTTGCAAAAACCCTGGGTTTCTATTGGCTTTTCGCTCCGTTTAAACCCTAAACCCTAAACCCCTAAACCCCTAAACCCCTAAACCCTAAACCCTAAAACCCTAAACCCTAAAGCAATGCGGACTCTTGTCTCCATTTGGGGGACCCTGTTCTTGTCAGTGGCTTGCTCAGCCTTTCTTTCCTCGTCGGTTTATGCAGCCACGGCATTTCTGAAAGGCATACATCTTGCCAGTGGAGGCGATCACATATGATGTCACATATGTTTAAAAGCATGTCAGCATTCGAAAGCTTCTTTGCATTCTGAATGAACTTTTGATTGGATCATTTCTGAGGCATCTCCACTGTGAGGAAGCCAAACTGCTGTTTGATCTCGAGAGTTTTTTTGCCTCGTTTACCAGTAGAAAGTGTCGAAGTTTAACCAAAAAGTCTATCCTCTTTAAGGGCCGTGGATCTTTTCTTAAAAGAATCATTCCACTCTGTTTACTTTGTTTATAAACAAGCATTCCACTCTGAAAACTTCAAAAATGCAGATGCCGGATGTCGTCCCAGTCAAGGAGTACTTCCTCTTTCAGAGCGGCACCTTGACGATCAACTGGTTGGACGACGGTGTCGGCAGCCAATTTCAACACCCCCACCCCCCACTGCCCCCACTCTCCGTCACCCACGTTGGGGCAAACGAAACATCAATTTAAGTTGTTTTTGAAAGCTCGCAAAGGATAGTCGCAGGCCAGAATTCAACGACACTTCCAAGGCATCGAGGGAGCCGATTGGCGGCAGCAACAGCAACAGCAACCAGCAACCAGAAACTAACACACAACAAACAACACACAACAAACAACAAACAACAACAGAAAAAAAAAACACACACACACACACACCAAACACCAAACAACCAAACAAACCCTAAACCCTAAACCCTAAACCGTACTTCAGCAGGCAAATGTCCTACGTTGATCAAATGAGAGGTAACATTCGAAAGCGATATCCACGACAGAACGGGCAAACACATTATTTAGAACCAAGAGCACATGGATCAGATGTGATATCGCAACAACAATGAAAGAGCAAGAAAAAGCAACGGCAAAGAAAACAAGTAAGCGAGGCAACGTTTGCGCTTGGAACCTTATTGCGACGATCGGAAACATCAGACACAGGTATGCCCGACACAGAAGATGGATTTAGTTGATGATGTTGATGACATTGACGAGGAAGAGGTTCATGATGCGTTAGAAAGGAACGCTGTCTTTGCAAGAGAAGTTAATTTATTAGAAACTATACTACACCAGCTACAACATGTACTCGCAGCAGACCGTACCGCAAATTAACAGCAAAAGATAGCTCTCTCACCCATAGCTTCCCAAAGAAACACCAGCATTTGCATGCACAGACCCAAATTAATTAGGCTTTCGGTGTTTTCTGAATCACTCAAACTCACACGGTGTGCCTGAGACGTAGTCCGGATCTCGAACCAACCAGTCATCAAACACCTGCGCGTCGGCGGCCACCGTTAATCAATGTCAATGGATGCGGCAAGAGCAAGTTTTTAGGATGTGAAAGGCATGCCTTCGCTGGTGGGCATAAGTGGAAAACCTGGAGCAGATCCTGTGAACATGATACTTTCCTCAAGTTCTTACCTTCCTCAGAATCTGTCGGCAGTGTCTCGTCTATGTTGTGCAGGTGCATGCAGCCTTTTCATCTGCAGATGAAGACCTAGCCGTCAAACAAGAGCAACTTCCCTTTCGGGAGCATTCGCGCCCTGTGGAGAGCGCTGCGTAGTTTTAGCTGTCCAAACAGCATGCCTGACCACGTATCCACTGCCGTTGTCAAGCTCCTCCGACACTGTCTCTGACAGTGTCTCTGAGCTTAGAATGGAACGCCAGGCTTTTCACGGGTTTTATGTAAGCGTGTTTGCGCAAGCGCCACTTTAAAATGCTATTGGCAAGCAAGGACTAAGGACAGGCTCTATTTAATTTTGGCAGGCAATATTGAGCACTGCCTATTTGCAAAAGGGGTTCTTCGAAAATCATGCCACTGCTGCAGATGCAGTTAGAGCTGACACCCATTCAGAATGCCAACCATGCGAGCAATCGCTTTGCAATCTGTGGACTGTCCGAAACTCGATAAAATGTGTGAACGACGTGAGAAATAACAGAACCACTTGTCATCCAAACTTTGTTCTTACATATACTCCTGCTCTGAAGCATGCACTGCTCGTTCTTGTTGCTGATAGAGGTCTCGAAACCTTTTTGCCTTCATGGAACAGGGCGAACTGAAACTTAGCCTCATCTGGTTGCTACGCTTCCTTTCTGATCAACTATTGCCAAGTTTCGTTTGGGGCGAAACCCTGAAGCCGACTGCCGGCAATATTAGCTAGCTAAAATCGTTTTGCTTGGTGTACGCTTCTACGAAGGATTGAAACTTGTGCGGGCCAACAGCCACAAGCCGGAAAACAAACAGCCAGCATCGCCCGGATGTTTTTTCAATTCCGCGTGACCAAATCAAATTTATCCTGCTGAATAATTTCCGGGCATTTTCTCACAATTCCGGGGGACCGCACTAACCAGGATGCAACATTAGCATCCTCGAAGATTCGCTTCGTCAGCATACGGCTGTTTTGATGCAAGTGCGGATGCAAGTGCCATGGAGCACTACAGCATAATACAGCCTGCTGTTGTGCCTGAGCTTGATCAGGCCTCTTCTTGTTCCTTCAATTTCTTTCACGATGTTGTGGGCATTTCTTTTTGCCTTCTCGGAGTCTGTCGGCAGGTCTGGTCACTTGAAGGTGGCGCTGGATACGACGCGGGTTGAAACTTTAGATCCTTGCCCCAGTGAGCAGAGCACGCTCGCACAACATTCAATAAACGATTGTTGCTGTTTGTTAGCTGTTGCTGTTTTGGGGCTGTTGGTTTGTTTTTTTGCCCGCCAGCCTGAAGGTCCAAAATGATTCAGCGAACAAAAAGATTGCAAACAAAACTCGAAAGCAGGTTGTTGAAGAGTGTTGAAGAGCTTGCTTTCGTGTCAGGGTGGGTGCCGCAAGGCCGCCGCAAGGATCCCTAAGGCACATCGCCCTGCCGAAATGTGCCTCTCCACAACACGACATTCCAAACGGCGAAGGCACGACAATACGCCCGTCTCATATCGCTAAACAAAAGTAGACACCTAATTGATATTACAGCGCCTAATAATATGATTCATGGGTGTCAGCGCTGCTGCAGGACACAGCCTTGCAATGCACAGCGGCCGCAAGAGAAGATGTGAACACCACCTAGACGCATGGAGCTGCGCAGAAAGTATCGTCCTGCTGTCCCCAGTGTGATACGACTCTGCACGCTATTCTAGGGCAAATCCCTCGCAGCTTTCGTGACTGACACTTGGTCTGTGCCGGACAGCTGCACCCGTCCACAAATCCAAGTCTCGGTCAATCCGGTCAAAAAACTACCTCAAGATGTTTAAAACTCATGGTGAACCATCGAATGACGCGAACGCCAGCGTCTGACCATGTTGTCAACTAGACCTTTGATGAGATCAAGATGCTGCTCGGACTTGATCTCATGCATTTTGTGGCGCACATCTGCACCTGACACGGGAGATGCCGTTGTAGCGATGCGCATGATGGACTGGGTGCGGTCCATACGATAGCGCAGGATGCCGAAGCTGACCCAAGGCCAAAACCTAGCGATGGACCTTCCCATCTCATGAAACATGACGAAGAAAGCCACAGCACGATGTAGCGAGGCGATACGGCTCTCATACAGCTGCATGGACAGGAACTGGGTCTCAATGATCTGAACAGACTGCGATGACTCTGCGTTGCGCAGGAGACTTATGCCGAAGATATCCTCCGCGGATTCCACCACTTTCATGAGTCCTACCTTTGTCGCTGTTGCTGTGCCCTCGGCAAGCGCGAGCAGCCCGGCAAAGCTCGTACGGTAGATGGCTTTGCAGTCTGACGGATAGATTGCCCCATTGCTGTTCGCATCGAAACGTTCGAAGACCTTCGAACTTCGCTGGTGAGATGCAAACAAAATGACTGAAATATCGGCTCAAGGCCGATTGTAGCAGAGGACCCACAAGCCTCTCAAACACAAGCATCTCAAACTCACTCATATACAGGTTTAGCGCCAAGAGATCCTAATGCTTGAAGGCACCCGCAAGAGGCTTTTGCGATCGATCTTGTCCTCCCGCAACAGCCGGAAGCCCTTCTCGAAACTGAGTCGGAGATCGCAGATGGCAAACGGTCTAAAGAAAAATCGCCTAGAGTGAGTCTAAACTGCATAGGGTGTCGGTTTCTGCTGGGCAATGTTAGAAGTTAACAAGACTTCTATCTGTTGGGAGCGTGAGCGGCGCAAATGAGCTTTCGCCGCACTTTCGCGTTGGGCACCAAAACTAAGATGCACTGCATTCTTTTTCCCTTCCTTGCGGCCGGATCCTTCTTGTCGTTCTCACGCACTTTCCCTCCTCCCTCGTTTCGCCCTGTTGTTTCGTGTCTGTGCTTGCCACCTTCCCCCTCGATGTTTGCTCTCTTCTTGTCTTGGCCGGCAAGGCCTGCAAGGGCCTCCATGGTCGCGCAGACATTCGAGCTCTAGATTGCTGTAAAGTGGCGTACGCTCTGCCACGAACATGAAGACTGCACGCAGACTCTACTAAATTTGGCCAAGGGGCTCTTTGAAGGTAACCTGCACATCCAGGATCATCCAGGCAAACCAGGAAGTTCTTCCAACGGATTCTGTTTCTAGCACTAGCATTCTACAGCACACGGCCACAGGGGATGAAACTTGCAGCAATGTTTAGGCTGTTGAAAACTCTTACAAGATGATATGTTGGGATCTTGCGGGTGTCGTGGCTCGCATACTGTTTCCTGGGTGGGATGGGTGGGCCGCGGGCGCCCGAAAACTAACGTGCCTCCCTTCGTGGGCCATGTACTGAGTGGCTCCGTCATGCCAAATCGAAACGAGCGCCCCCGTTCTAACAGAGTGTCCCCGAGTAGTTAGTTTTGGACTGCGCCCCCAGAGAGTCCCCGATATGCCTGCAGAGTATTTTGGAGTGCCAACACTCCGATGCTCACGGCCCCCACGCAGTTGAGAAACGAAAGATGATGCGCACAACCCCCCCTAGATGAGCGCCAGGAGCTCTCCATGAGCTCCCCTTCAATCAACCTCCCTTTAAGCCCTGGCTTAGGCGCCCAAAGCAGCCAAGCTAAAATCCTCATCGTTGCAGAACCGCTACACCCATGCCTGCCCATCGTTGTCCAAAGGGAGGCTATCCACAAGCGTCTGCATGTCTTGAAGGCGATCTATGGATTTTTTCCTCTCGGATACCTGACGCAACAACAAAGCAGACTTAAACAGACAGTGATCATCACTGACCCTTCCGCCTGGTGCTGCATGCGAAGGAAAACATCATCCTGTAGCCACGTGGGCATCTCCTCATCGGTTGGACTGGATGCCCTTAGCCGTCATATCGACCATGTCCAATAAACCATAATAAACCGCATGACGCTGGTAGGGGCTTTGTTCGGACCCGGGTGTTGAGGTTTGAGGGCCTTAACATGCCTTCAACCAAGAAATGCCAAGCAAAACATGATCGTTGAGGCCACCCGAGTGACTTCGACGTACTTCTCAGCTCCTCAGCATGGAAGCTGCGGATTTCTAGCGACTGGCCACTCAGAAATCCCTCTCAGATGCTTTGACATCTTCGGACCCAGCAGGATCCAGCAGGTCACCGCTTTTGTGGAACACCAGAGTTTGAAATGCTTGAAACCTTTTAAGCCTCGCTGTTGCATGCTGGGGGCCATCTTCACATTGGAGAACTGGCCCAGCAAGGCCGTCGCACTCTGGGCCTGGAGTTCTGTCTTCTGGAGGTGCTCGCAAAGGTACTGTGGGCGGTCGAACTGCAGAGTCACGGAGTGCGTCGCCAGGGGGAGCTGATAAGGGTTGTGTCCGATGGTGAGGCTCTCAAGGGTGGCGCCCATGGACTGGATGGAGCTCGCCTGGGCGGCCGAGGTTGTTCACAAGTTGTTCACAAGTTGTTCAAAAGTTGTCCTGCATCTTTCTTGGCTTCCTTTTCCTTCCCATTCCTTCCCTGTGCGCCTGGTTCACAGCCAGGCAGACGGACTGCTCCGCATTGCTGAGGGCAACCAGGCGCCCGTCCGGCCGGCCGCAGGCCAATAACGTGCCACGCACCACCCGATGAGTCATGCGGTGGAGGAGGTGGTCCGCAGGGTTTCCCGAGAAGACCGTGAGCCCAGCTGCGGAGTAGGAGCAAGCCATGAGCTTTGAAAGGAACGCTTCCGCAGTCTGCGCCACCTGAACCAGTGTGACACGACAAAGCTGGCATCCTTTAAACTTTCAACATCCCTAATATTCTCTAATGATCTGATGCATTCTTGACGTCTCAACCCTTCCCAGCCACCCAGGGAATATCACCGATGACGACTGTGCGGCCCGTCATGCGGTGGAGCAGCGGTCGGCGCTGGAGCAATCGGATCCTAGTAGGCAGAAACGGATGCAGAAGCATAATGAGATTTTGCGGGCCTACCCACCGCAGCAAAGGAAAAACACTCGCACTGGCAAAGCATGAGCTCAGGAACAGAAGAACCGCCAGTTGGGGAAGGAAGATGTACAGGACAGCATCCAGCACTTGGGCGGCATAGATCAAGTCCTGACGCATATCGCGCAACCGTTTCGATGGCACCTCTTCGGAAAAGCACCCTTTGGAGAAGTACACCTGATCTTCAGTGAGATGCCTGATCTTCTCAGAGAGATTCAGAGAGTTCTTTTGAAAGGTCAGAGCCCGTCCTCAGAGACCTCCAGCAGCCCTGAACGACGTGTAGCGGTGCTCAAAGGTGCCAGGCCAAGGCTAACAGTCACGGCAATGTAGATGGCGCCTGCAAGTGAGTCCCGAGCAGACCACCAAGCTGCAATCACTCAATTTGTTCGATTGCCCTGTTAAATATGCGAACGTGTTCATTGCAAAGGTTGTTTTCATTCTGCATCATGTGTGTCATGCCTAAAGACGCGTAAAGACCAGTTCGCACCCGAGCTGCAAATGATCCAAGCTCGTGGTCCTTCAAGCACGTGCTGCGCCCAGTGTCCTGGTTCGAGGGAGGGCAAAGGATGGCAAAGGGAATCAGGGCTCCGGTGTGCCATGAGTGAAGGGATGTGCAGGGACATGCTTGAAGAGCCAGCAGGAGGAATCAATGGGGGGGGGGGCATCAGGAACTTTCTGGGAACTGGCCGAGCTACGTCCCTTGGCCCGCAGCTGCTTCGCCGTTGTCGTCCAGGGCCGCACGAGTTCCTTCTGGCATAGCTGTTGAGGAAACTTGGAATTAAGTGGGAGAGAAAGAGCCTGCACGTAAGCATTGCACTAAGCCTCAAAGCACAGATCCCTCCTCGAGCGCGGAGATGCTTAGGCGGTTGAGGCGTTGCAGCTCTGCCAAATCAGTGTTGCGCACCACGGCACCGGCAGCGGTGCCGAGCTCCCGGTCCTGGAAACGATCCACGACCCGCGCCAGGACTTCATCGTGCTTCCAAAAAACTTGACATTTAAGGCGGATGCCCTCCTCCAAGAGCGTGGCTGAAAGATAGATGAGAATCTGCGTCAGCAACTGCCTGCAGATAAAAATGTATATATATATATATATAATATTAAAGAATGAAACACTCGGCGGAGCTGCACACAAGATAGCAGAGGGATGCACAGGGCACCAGGCCGAGCGGCTGTGTAGCAGCTACGGAGATAGAGCAAGGCTCTGCAGGCCGGATGCCGATGTCGGTGCTAAAGACGCGGCTGGTCTCGTCCTCTTCTACTTCCGGCTTTGTTTGAGCTGAAAGACCCTTAATGGGCATTTTCAGGAAATCTTGGGCTTTGGAATGCTTTGGATGCTCAGCAAACACTCTGCACGCGGCAACTGGCTGTCCCCTATCATTTCCCCGTGACCAACACAAACGTGCCACTGTGCCACGAAGCCAGTCCAGCTGGCGCAGTTGCTTGCCAATCTGCGTGTCCCACTCCGAAGTGACCACGAAGAGATGCCTCTTTCGGAACACTTAAGCTGAAGACACGGGGAGCTCAGAAAGGGATCCAAGCTGGATTCCAGGATTCCCCAATATTCCCCAAGTGCCTGGTAACAGCTTGAAGGAGATTGGAGATGTTCAAAGTGGAGAAGCTACCGCCGCTGTGACTTATCAGCAGCACACAGGCGCCACGCAGCTCCCAGGAGCCACATGCGAAGCCCGTCAGGGGCATCCTTGTTGGCATTGGCAGGTTTATATGTTCTTTGCATTTGAGAGAAGCCTCCACGAAGACATGCAACGCACAAAGCACAAAAGCGCCGCCCAGCATCGGACATTCCAGGCCGTGCATTCCCAAAATTTTGTTGCTCGAGATGCACCTGACCAAAATAATACTTCTTTGCAGCGGGATCCACATCCACAAGAAGACTTGTGAACTATGTTGAAATGCCCTGCCTCACCACCAGGCGTTTGAAGCACAGTGAAAGGTCTGCGGCCAGCTGCTCACCCAACCACAAGCTGACCTCCACATCGCGCAGGCGCAGGGTTGAAGCTCTCCACATGGCAATGCACCTTTATGCGCCCTTTTTGTCCATTTGTGTGCCCCCCCCTCGACCTCACAGCCACTAATGAGCAGGTCCACAGCATCGGGCGCCACTTTGCCAACCAACTTATCCTGGAGCCGGCCACGCAGAGCGCGGCCCAAGGCCCAGGCGGCCGAGCGATTCCTTTTCAAGGGCTGCTGCGTACTGATGTGTACTGATGGCTCTCCACCTTCTCCTTAATCCCTGTATACCAATGTAAGGACCCTAAACAGACCAAAACAGCCACCGTTGCAGAAACACTTCCAGAATGCCAAAGGTTCAGGCCCCGGCCGAGGTTCCAATCATTCTGGATTCTCTCCAAGGCCTTTGGTATGTCCTCCAGTGCAGTACACATGGACTCTGGAAGAGGGAAGCCAGATACTAGCGTAGATGTCATGCCGAAAGGTTCGTCTCCTGGATGTCCTGGGCAACAGGCTCTGGATTGTTTTTGGGCAGCGGCAGCACAAGTGGATTGTTCTCGATGGCTACCAGGCGCTTCATCAAGCTCTTCTGCAGATAGCTTTCTCGCACCAGCGTGACGGTCAAGGCGTTGTTCATCAGCACCTTTTCAAGCCCTAAACTTACTCATGGCCCAGGAATATGACAAGAACAGGCTATGAATCAGGAAATTAGGGTCGCTAGAAGGCATTTCGAAGCTCAGGTCAGCATTCCTAAGTGTAAGTGTGTGTGTGTGTGTGTGTGTGTGTGGGTGGGTGGGTGGGTGGGTGCGTGCGTGTGTGCGTGCGTGCTTTTTGTTGAGACATTATTCTCATTATTACGGTGGTTAAGATGCTTATGCTGAAGGCGGGGCAGACGTGCGGCTTGAACTGGTAGGGCCGTTTTGCCCCAGAACCCAAATCAGCCACATCTTGGCTGCTACATACCGTTTTGCCCCCGCCCCCTGCGTTTCAGGCGCGCCAAAAGGCACCTTTGACGGTTGCTGGACCCCATGACATCCCTAGGATACCCCCCAGGACCCCCGGTGAGACGCCCCTGACCTTTCTGGGACCCCAAACCTCCTGGAGCCCTCCTACTGTACCTCCTGACCTCATGACGCGTCCGAACCAATCGACATGACTTTGGCTTTTTTTTCGTCTGCGATGCGCACGCTGCACCCCATTTTGGGCCAACCCGGCTGCCGAGGCGGCGCGTGCAAGCGTTTCCAATTACATCGAACAAAAAGGTAATTTTCCCAACCCTCGCCGATTTCTTCCTACCTGGCCTTGCCTTCCGCCCGGGCTTCCGCAGCTTCCGCGCATGGGTTAGTTCTATACATAGCCGCATAGCCATGATGTAGAAGTTTCAGATTTTTTGGCCTTGGCAGGTTGAAGACTTCAGGATGCAGGGATTGGAAGCTGAAGTTCAGGGTTTAGGGTTTTGGGGTTAACGTTGCCTCTTATGATGGGCCAAGGGCCACAAAAGCCACCCTCACCTTCCGTGCAGCTTCCACATGCTTCCACCAGACCCGAGCGTGAACGGGCCTGAAAAGTAGGGGTCACGGGGTCCACATGAGACTTCACATGCGCCCCCCTACTGCCCGCCGCCATCGCCGCTGCCCCCTCAATGTCATTTGTGGTTTGAGATCGGTGCCATCTTACCAGAATTCATAATGTCCATCATCCGACCATTCGTGCGACATCGATATTGGCTACCCGTTGGTTCGTGCTTCGTGCGGTGCCTCACTCTTTTGCCTGCTGATCATGTGCGTTCAACGCTTCACACATCTTCGTGTGTACAGTCTCGCATACTCTGGATGGCCGCGTCAAACAAGATCGTCGCACAGCTTGCAACGGCCGTTTGGGAATTAGGGAGTTCTGCATCCAGCTCACCTATGTCTTTCTCTCCTTCTGCAGGAATGTCTGGCACTCGTCCTGGCTTAGCTGAACGCAGCTTTCCATTCAGACTTCTTCCTTTTTCGTTTGATCTTGCGCAGAGTCCGAAACATTCCGAGGCCACGCCCTGCACGGGCATCTTATATGACATCCAGATATCATCCCATTAGTCTCCATTCGGTTGGTGAGTGAAGCTCGACATTTTCCTATGGATACCTTCCTGAGAATCTGGGAAAATGATGGAAAATGCACACCACGCGTCAGGATGCTGGACTGGACTAGAAGCAAGAAAGAGAGCCAAGGTTCTAGTGAACAATACTGCACGCACACCAACGGTGCGGCAACACCCATGCGAATGATGCCTACGGCCTATGCACTCTCTTCAAGACGAAGACTCGTAAACATGCCAGGAGCACCTTTGGCCGAAGAGTGCGGTGGTTGAAGGAGGTGAAGGGCATACCCTCGCCCCAGTCTAGCAGGCAAATCTCTCCACCCAAGTCCTTGAGGAGGCATCATGCACCATGCGTGTTGATCCTGGTGTATCGTGCATGATATTGTTTGACAAAAGCTCCTATTCCTGTTTGGACGAAAGGCTTGTGAGTATGCAAGGCTTGCACATTGTCGAGAAACAGAACACTAGGACTGCGATCACAAGCATAAGGCTCTGGTCATGGCGAGCAATCATGAGCATCCGGAGCCTCATCGCAACACGCCGGGGGCACAGAAAGACACACGATAACCGCACAGTATTGGCGATCCTTTACGATGCTATCGACCTTTGGGGCAGCTCGAACCCTCCCTGGGCCCCAGGCCCGGGCAGCTGATGCTCACGATTCTCATCCCCAATCATCAGGAATTCACAACCCTGGCCCCCTTCATGACCCTCGCATGTGCTTTGCTGCATTGCATAGCCCCTTCGTGACCTCTGCGCGACCTCTGGGCACATTAGTGCACGCGTTGTACGAAGCATTCTGGTCCAAAAGAACCGTCGTTTGTTTGTACCGGCACTTTCAAGCTTTCGAGAACAGCCATGAAGAGCATTGAAGAGCCTAGAGTCGTCGAGGTCCAACCGCATCGCGGGACCCTCGTTGAGCTGTGACTCTGGTCCGAGCTGCATGCTGCCATCCTCAGATCCCATCCCGAGTATATCGCCGTGATGGCACGAGCGCAGCATCATCGTATTTTCTACACATTTTCTAAGTTTCTATCCTTACTGTGCTTATCTGTGCTTGGCGTCGCTATCCGTCAAAAAAGCTAAGTGGCCAGTGGGGCGACTTCCTGGGTTTCCTGGCTGAGATCGAGCTTGCCTGCGGCCAGCCCGAACACTGCGCTTGCACGCCGCGACCTTGGCTGTCCCAAAGTCTTTGGCATTGCGAAACTTGCGGAGGACATGGGGAGACGTTGGTACATTGGTAGAGTTTCACAGCTCTGTGGACCTTCGCTGTCGCTGTTCCTCGTTCCCGGCAGCGGGGATGTCCTTGCCCATGCCGGCCTTGACGGCCGCAGCCTCGGAGCCATAAAGGATCAGGCCTGTCTCCGGGTAAAAGGCAACCTGAGTCTCTCTGTGACGGGGGAGAGATGCCAAAACAAGGAGGTGCCCTACTGGTGCCCTGTGTCAGCTTGGCTTCTGCACCGACAGGGTCTAGGTTGGGGAGCTTTGGGTTTATGCGGCTGAGTTGGGGAGGTTGGCTGGCTGGGGAGCTTTGAGTTTCGGCACTGAGTCTTTTACTTCGCGGGACACGGGACTTTGGGGCGCCATGACTCGCAGCACTATCTTGCTGACAGTGACAGTGTTGCACAAAACAGGAGGAGCTCACAGCCCATTGCCTGAAGAAGGTTGTGACAGCCAGTGTCTGCGTAAAGACTATGGGGGTTCCAAGCAAAGGACGTCACAGCAGGCCTATTCCCTTTGTGACAGCTCAAGGCCTTCTCCTCTCCCACACAGAAGGTTGAGTCAGCAAATAAGCACATTAAGCACTTGCTCTGAGCTCTGAGGGAGGCACCGACATGGTCTGACCGCGGGCTGCAATGACCATCTGGCGGCCGGCATCCAGGGACGAGGTGACGCAAAGCCCGAAGGAGCCCTTGGCATTTCGCATAAAGAGCTGTGTAGCGAAGAGGAGGTCGTTGTCGAAGAAGGCATCCACAGCGCAGTTCACCATCTTCTCCACGTCGCTCTCTTCCAATGGGATTTTGAGTTTGCAGCCTTGCACGCCTCTTTGCACTGCCTCCACGGACAGATGGCGCAGCAGGTCTCTGCCGTCGTTCAGGACACCCACAGTCTTCTGCTCGATGCCATGCTTCTGCAGCACACTGTTGATCACCTCAGCAGAAAAATCTTGCCAGGCTCCTAAAGTGTCCATGCGTTCCTACATGTTCCTAAACTCAGAGTGGCCCCCTACTGTGGCACATTGTGGCCCTCTGCCGGGGATTGCCTGACCGATCTGCTTGAACAGGTTCTGCGGGGGCATCTCGTACTTGAGCGACTTCCGCTTTACGCCGAAAAGGAAGCCGAAGCGCACGCTGCGGGCAAGGCAGCCCTGTGTGCGAAGCAGGTCCATGATCCCCGCGATGGCCGCTGAATCCACCTCTGAGGGCCTCGGGATTCCGGTGGCAACCTCCAGCCAGGACTGGATGGTGCCAAGGTCGTAAGTGATCTGCCCCACATCAAAGTAGTCCAGGTCTCCATTGTGTGTGACGAAGATCTCCAGCTGCTTCTGTTGATTTGTCAGCCGGCCTTGAGACCAGCCCACATACACGTCGTGTTTCTGCGGCGGGGTCCACCGGTGTGGGTGGGTGCCCTCCAAAGTGGCTTTGGAGCTGGTAGCAAAACGAGTATGTCCCATGTAGAGCCGCCCACGAGCCACAAGGCCTCGATTGACTGACTCACCCGACCACAGCAATTCGATGCAAGATGTTTCAGACTTTAGACACCTTAGACTCCTTAGACTCCTTAGACTCCGTAGATTCCGTAGACTCCTTAGACTCTTATCATGATCAGTCGCTCTGGAGCACTACCAAGATGCCTCGTCGGAGCCGCGCCCAACGCTCGGTGGAGTCGAGGCTTCGGCGCACGAGCGAAGACAGCGTCGTGCGCTTCCTGAGGGCTTTTCTGAGTCTTTCTTCCCAACACTTAAAGGCATGCGCCAGCTCGTGTGGGGCATGAGCGTCCAATAGCGTCGAGTCCATGTCCACATATCATGTCCACGCAATGACATTGCTGCCTGGCTGCTGATTCACTACCCGAGCCCGGGCACCCATGAGGTCACCACTGCCTGTGAAGGTGACGACACCGCCGCTCTGCGCCCCACGCATCATGGTCACCTCACGTAGCCACGAAGTCATGTAAGTCATGCAGAAATGCTGCGTGGACATGAGTACATCATGAGTACCATGAACGCTTCGCGATCCTGGACTCTCCGCTATGTCACCTCCACCATTGCCTCAAGGATGTCCTTCATCTTCTTGGGTGCGGCGGTCCAGGCAGCATTGAGGATCACGATGCCGAAGTTGCCGCAGGAGAAGCATCCCGGCTTCCTGGGCTCCAGTTCCGGCATGTTCCGGCTACAGTTTCGGCGACTTCTCGGTGGTAACTTTATGTAACTTTTACAACTCCCAAACGAACCTGGCTTCGACCACTTCGGCAGTTGTAAGAGGTCGGACAGACAGGCCTCCAAAGCCGTGACGAGAGCTGCGTAGAAGGCGATGCTGGAGGCCTTGGGCGTGAAGCGCACAGCGGCGGCGAGCACCACAGAGACAACCCATCCAGCGTGGCGCACCCAAGTGGTGCTCCAACCCTTGGTCTCAATGCACACCTGCCGTGAGGTAGCCGCCGCCAAGAAGTTCCGAAGGGTCGCGGCTGGGCGGCAGCCCACCATCAGCCCTGCCAGGACATGTCCAACCTCGTGCAGGGCACCAAAGAGCCCGTAGAAGAGGAAGAACTCCAAAACAGTGCATGGATCCATCAGGACCATCAATGGGCTTCCTGCCCGGAGACGTGCACAAAACTACAAATGGCTGCCAGATGTCTGAAGGTTCAAGATGCGCTTCTACTTCACAGGTCTCGCTCCCGCATGCACAGACGTACCAAGTATATGACACATTACGAGACGAGTTCAGAGCCGTGCACAAGAGCCGTAACATGGGGGGGGCTTTAGATGAAGAGTTGAAATGAAGATGGGTTTTGTTTGACCAGATGTTTCGCCGAGCCATGCCAAGAGCCCTTGAAATGCTGAGATCCAATGGAGATCCAGGCCTCTCTTTCCAGCGTTGGACCGTGCCCAGAGCAAGGTACTCACCGCATTCACCTGGTGCCCATCTTCGAGCACATGGAATTACAATGTTACTCCACTAGCACAGTCTTCTTTCCTAGCGCTATGAAGCCTTGACGGTTCGGGCACTCGGGTGCGTGCATCTAACTGTGGCTTGCCTCTTAGCTCACTTTATGAAGCGTTAGCTGACAGAGAGGCTCCCATTCGAGATAGGGTGTTGAAGGTATGGACGGGTTCCAGCAAGCGAGAGGGCCATTTCCTATCGACTCGATTACTCCGAGGGCGAATCCGATATAAATACGCACATATATATATATATGTATAGATACATATATGTATATATGTATATATATGTACCTACATATGTGTATGTCGAATCGTGGTGCAAATCAACAGCCCGCTGCAACTAAGAAGTCCCGGGGTGAGAAGTTGAGAGCTCAGGCCAAGGTCACTTGAGAATTCAAAGGTGTCCGATGGCGCGCTTTGTTCATCTTCGATCAACAACTACCACCTTGAGAACTTGGCAGTTTAGCGGCTACAGGCATATTCACAAACTAGCACGCAGCAGATCTCACTTTTGTCTCATCGTCTGGAGTGTGAAACATCCGCCAGGTCTTCAGGGGAGACACGAATGAAAGCACGCTTCTCCTTCACGACACCGCAAGCTTTCGAATGCGTGTCTTCAAAGCATCATTTTCCTGTCCAGTGTAGATGGTTCGAGACTGTTCAATCATCAGCTGCATGCATGTTGTAGCGAGCCTCTTCCCTGTCCCGCAGTGTTGCATCCAAGTCCTCCACCTCAGACCTCAATAGTGCCACTTCAGCCTGACACGGTGGGAATTCAGTGAAGCCATTCATGTGTCACCGGATCATGCTATTGCAATGACGTTGGCGCACAGGGTCAGTCTGGCCAGTCGCGGATTCGAACTTGCCGGACCTCTGTTGCACATGATTCTGCGCACATCTATGTTAAATGAGCGCTGCGCCATGCTATGCTGCGATGCTACCAACGACCTACCCTCTCTGAGCCCTTGCCATCCCAGCCTTGTGAACTCTGATGAACTCTGAGTATCGGACTGGGCATCAGCCAAACTGGCTTGAAGCTGGGCGACAGACTGGGCGTACCTCACCCCAAGATTAAAAGGAAGCCATGGTCTGAGTTTATCGGTCAGAGTGGCACAAAGATGAAAGGCGTTCAACTTCCTTCGCAATTCGGTCTCGCTCCTCGCTATTGACTCGCATGTCAAAAAAAGCACGGTGCAGATTTGTGCTTCAGCTCTGTGCAGCAGCTCCTCCATCAGCCTGGCATTTGCCTTCAAGCATTTCAAAGATCTTCAAAGTAGTTCTTCAGTGCAACCCCTGACAACTTGAGATAAATAATCTCAAAACTCCTTGATGCACGCAGGCTAGTGGGCACAAGCAGGCCAGCTTGTAGGCAAAGAACGGCCATGCGCACACATCGAAGATCACATCGAAGTCTGTGGCATGACAGCGGCTCACAAAGTACTGAACGAGCGAGGCACATGAGCCGGCACGCAGGTTAACGAAATCCCAGATCAAATTTGTTGTCTGATGTTGTATTTTGGGCTTCAAGGCTCAGAATGTAGAGAGACCTCAAGGATGGGTGTGAACAGATTGGTGGCTAAGCATGTTGGCCAGGCAAACAAGGAACCAACTCGACAAACAGGTAGGATGCTACAGTGGATGCCGTTGGCAAGCGCACGTTCAAGTCTGCTCATGCAAGGAAAAAGCGATGGGGTACGTCGGTCGGGCATGTCTACGAACACATGAGGCCCTGGCGGTCGTCACGCGCTCGACTGATTGCTCATGATAGGCCTTCTCCTGCAGAGCAGCTGGAGGGCAACATGCCCGCACGCACACCAACAACGCCTGTCCTTCTCCGCAACATTGAGGGCACTGTCCATGCGAGCTGCAAGTCTGTTCCTTGATGGTGAATGCTGCTAGGGGATTTAAGTCCACAAACTGCTGCTGACTTACTGCTCCGCCAGCATCGGGTAAGGTGTGCAACGGAAACCAAGAGGGAATTTAAACCTAAAACCAAAACGGAAAGCAAGAATAAATTGTGACGGAAATCACGCCCGCAAGCCTGGAAACCAGACGCAAGTGTAGCGGAAACCAACCCTAAAAACCTAAACCCTAAAGCCTAGATCCTGAACCCTAAGCCCTAACCCCTAAACCCTGAAAAAAAGAACCCGCGTTGGTTTGTGTTACGCCCCGGCAAGGTTTCTGTAACGGTTTCAAGCCGGCAGCTTCCGCTACAACCCGCCAATGTCCGTAACAGACTTTACTCGCCAGCATCACTGGCTCCGAAATCATCTTGGCCAATTAAAACTGAACTCCACCAGATCTGCTGTGCGGCAAAAACCCGCCATGCCCCGGCGGTCAGACCAGCGTGCAGATGCGTGCAGCATCATATAGCATCATGAATATCATGGCTTACATCAGATTAGTACATCACATGCAAGCCCAGCGACTGAGCTGCGACTCACTTCGGCGAGACAGGGAATGTCAACATCGGCGTATGTGCTCATCGGTTTCATCGGCATATATCGGCTTATGCCGTTTTATCGGCTTCTAAACTGATAAAGCAACAAGACCATGCGGCGATACACAACACGGACAGGGAGACAACCTTCCCGGGTCATACTTACGCGAGTGTCTGGTTCATCGGCTGCCGCCCAGTTTGAAAACTGGTGCAAGATTGTGCGAGCATGACCCCCACCACAGCCCTGGACATTTAGAATTGCTGCTCTCGTGCGGCCAACTTTCTCTACTGGTACAGCGGCACTGGCGGCAGCCATTGAACATTCAAACAGTGATGTTTGTATCATCCCTCCAGCCTTTCTTCAGAAATGCTCTGCAGTGTGTGCCTGTGCCGCTCAAGTTCCTGCAGGCAGTGAAGCATAAACATTGTTCAACAGATTGTTGCTTCAAGGTGCAACTGCGGCATTGCCTTTTGTCCATCCAGCGACCCATTCTGAGCAGCTTCAGCCTGCTTCATCTGAACCTGACCATTTGACGAGTACAGATGATACGGTACCACACGACGGTGGCAGCGAAGGATGTCAACAACCGCTGTGACGAACGTGACATCTTCCACTTCCGCCTTGTCGAGCTGCGTCTTCACGTACAGAAAATTATCCTGCAGCTCCTTCGGTCCGAGAATCAATGGCCAGCTTCTCATGGTATTTACATGATCCCTGAATATGGGCCCTCAATGGGGAGCCCTTATATAGCCCTTATGTACCCCGAAATACCCTACTATAAACCCCAAGGGCCCCTACTTCAGAACCCTTCCAAACAGTTCAGGGAGCATATGAAGACCGTGCAGCTGCCCTAAGACAACTAAGAGGCACTGGCCCTGTGGTCTATATGTGACCGTTTTCGTTGCAGTCCTTATCTGGCGTAGAAAACAGCGCTACTGTATGCGGCAGTGAGTGCATCATGTGTGAACACTGCAATTCACTGCAGGTGTGCAAGGAGCATCGGACAGTTCGGGGACAGCTTCTCTCACCATTTGTAAGGATCACGACAGAGCGCTTCTTTGACTACGGTGAGTACGTTCTTGGCTAAGCGATATACTGATTGTACATGATAGTAAGCAGCGGCCACTGGGACAGTGAATGTGGCCCCGCTATCTGGCCCATGCCCTTCTCCGTTCATGCAAGCTTTGCTGAACAGACGTGAACAATTTTTGAGTGTTGGTGCATATCCTACAAGTGATGCAAATTTCTGCATGATTCGGCATGGGGCATCAAAACTGTCCACAGCCATTCGCTGAGTCCAGGGCCTGTCTTTCCTTGTCCTGCTCCTGGGAATGAGACACTCAGCTTGACGCTGTTATGATGGGATGGCTGAGCGGGTTGGGGGCTGGGGGCTGGGGGCGGGGGTGGGGGGTGGCGGGTGGGGGGTGGCGGGTGGGGGGTGGCGGGTGGGGGGTGGCGGGTGGGGGGTGGCGGGTGGGGGGTGGCGGGTGGGGGGCGGGGGGGCGTGCTTCGCAAGCCTGATTCTCAACCATGCCTCTTAACCCTAACGAATGGCGAGGGCTGCTTAGGGTCGGTGTCAAGGGTGTCAGCGTCCTTGTGTTTCAAAAGGTCATCCCAAACCAACCGGCACCCAGCAACTCATCGGCTTGCAGCACCGGCAATGCTCGGCCGCTAACTCCGAAAACCGAAACCCCTAAACCCTACACCCTAAAAAACCCGAAGCCCCGAAGCCCGAACAGCTAAATCAGTGCTACATCCCGCCTAAACAAGCCCCTTCATGTCCAAGACCCTTAACTGTCAACCCCAAAGCCGACACAGTGCAAGCCCAAACAACGTGCATCCCGATAAACTCCACAGAAGCGACAGTAATCAAACAATGCCATCCACACTAGAAGGGCAAGATACCAAAATACTCGCGCGGAAACCTGGAAAACAAAAAGCGTAGTTCAAACAAGTTGTATAAAATCAAAAACTTTGAAAACAAGTGGCTTTTTACCTGTACGAAATACGCGTTTCAATGAAAAAACACGTACGGTTTCAGTGGCGGCGGGTCATTTTACAAAGCCAGGTGGTCACTTCTAGCAGTGGTGCTGCTTCCATCAGGGATGTTGGGATTCGATGTGGCCAGGACTTTCGCGCACTGGCCCCTAAAACTTGAGTGCGCCGTCATTGCATCAGATCATCAGCAAAGATTTTGTTTGCGACCCAGGCACTCCACGTTGTTTGGTTGTAGCTGCAATGTCTACTCTATCAAGCAGGCTGATACTCAGTCGCAATCATGCTTTTGACCAGAACTGACATGCCTGCTAGGTTCACTGCTAAACCACCTGTTCGCTGTGCGCTTCCATTCCAGTATATCTGAGGGTTGGGGAGACGGGCGGGGGGGGGAACTAAACTTTTCTTCCTATGCGGCTCCGGTGGAGGATGCCCGCCCCCCGTCCACCCCGCTGGCCCCCGTCCCGAATTACGACTACTAACAGTGCATCTGCTGGTGCAGGGTTTAGGAGGAGCATGGGAAGATGGAGCACCGTACTTGCTGTCCTGCAGCTGTCGACGAAGCTGTTCCTTCTCATTGTGCAAGGATTCAACGTCCTGCGACGCAGCTTCTTCACTCTCTCCCTCTCTCTCGCTCGAGCTCTCTCTTGTTCATGGGATCATGTGCAGCTTCGGCCTTACCGATGCCTGACAAGCAGATGTCTGGCGCCTAAACAATTTCTTCATAAATTTGTATTCCATGTCTGGCACTTGAACCAAGTTCCCGCTAGAAATCATGCAGTCAATTCTCGATGACTAGGATGCATCTTGCCTAAAGCAACCCCTGCAAGCAACGCAACGCTCTCAAACTAACGACTCGGCTGGCGCTCCTGCCGTAGCCGCTTCAGTTCCTGTGTGTGAACCTTCACGTAGCTTTGGGGAAACCATGCATGTGCCGTACTTGAGGCATTTTGCCAAAGACTGGTACATAGGCCCTACTGAGTCTGACATGTGCATCACAGTTTCACAGGGCCTGCTCTTGCTGGTCATGCTGGACGGTGGTGGTGTTGGAGCTCAACTCTTCTAAACGGGCCTGTCACAGCGTTTCTCCGGCAAACGACTGACCTTTGCCAACCGAAACAGTCTGATTACTTTTGCACATGAAAGTCTCGTGCACAGGAAGCTGCAGCCCGCTCAGGGATTAGTGTGGCATGTGTGGCGGCATCGGCAGGAGCTGGCATCGGTGAGTCTTGGGTTGTGGGCAGCACAGTAATTACCGAAGTTTTCAATGGTCAAAGCCCATACAGTATGGCCTTACCGACACTCTAGTAGTTGTGCTTGACCTTGGATCGTCTTACTTCCACAACCATCCGGCCAGTGATAGGCTGCAAGTAGGCTGTAGCTGGTGACAAGGTTGCCCTCAATTTATCCTCGCTTGTCCAAGCAAATGGCCTGCAGGCGAAATTCGGTTGCTGGCTTGACACAGAACTTGCCTGACATAGACAATCCTAAATGCCAGCACGAGATTTCAGCCGATAGACAAGCAGCAAGCACAGTCTACGCCGTTTGTTGCAGCCGATGCTAAATCAATATGAGTTACATTGAGTCAGTACTGAGTATGGTTGAA